TTTTTTCAACTTTTCTGCCAAACGGAAAAAAATACATTACATGTGTAATAAATAATGAATTTAGTTAGCTGTTTTCTATTAAAGTATCAAGTTATTTTAATGCTACAGCGGTTTTTTTTTTCTATAAAAAATAAAGAATTCTGTGCGTTTATTTGTTGTTTGGATCCAAACGGTAGCTTCTTTTCTGAAGGTCACACACGTAACTTTCAAATCAGTTTGCAGAAGGGTGTGGGTAAACGTCAAAGCATTATAGATTAAATTTGTATTTCGCAACTGAACCCTGTGAGAAAAAAGAGTAACGAAATGTGTATATATATTACAAGAAGAGAGGTTTTAAATGCACGTTCTTTTAATTCGTGTGTACGTATAAGCTAAGCTAAGCTAAGCCGTAGTCTGAACTAATATTCAGATTGATACCATTCATTCAAGTTGGATATGTCGGTTATTCCCTATTTACATTTTAACCAAGAGCAAATCATTTGTAAAGCATAGATGGTTCTTTCAAGGAATCATATTAGTTATATATTAGGACTGAAACGCAAGTGACGATATATAAATCCACACATTTTCGTCTCTAAAGATTATTGATTAAATGAAGAAACAAATATGGAAATATCACAGATCCCTAAAGCACACCAACATTTGTAAATTGGGAGCCTGAATGTCCTAGGATCTCTCACTTTAAGTAGAGATAATATTAGCAATCCAATCAATGATAAACTGATACTTTACATATCAAATTTATTCATGAAGACCTTTCTACCAAACGCAACAAATACCCTTAAAAATACAGGAAAGGATTCAGGAGCATAAAACCATATATTAAACAGTTTTGTTCGCAAGATGGCTGTCAGGCAAGAAGGGTAATTTTCGTAAATTTCAAAGTTCAACGATCATTTCATGAGTTGGACTTACATTTCATTTTAGAAATGGGGGAAGATATGAGTAAGATTTTTTTTTTATTATGAAGCTGGATTATTTATAGAAATTTTACCACCATTAGGAGGACACATCTAGAGGGATAAGGTTAGTTGTTGACATAGCAGGGAGATATTTCAATAACAGACTGAATTTATGTCAAAAGTAGAACAGATATCTTGATCAGATTCGTCCCGCATTGATATATTTCGGCAGATTATAAAAGATAGACATAAAAGGGTATACTGTCCCAAAAAACATTAGGAATGTGCCTTTGTGTCCTTCAATTGATGTAGCTCTTATGTAGCATCCCAAGAAGTAGATGCTTTCTTGTTTTACCTTCATCAATGCCCTTATTTAGCTAAGTGTCAAAGCTTAATCACTGGGCATCAGATTTAATTGACACATTCATGGGTGTCTGATCCTACAACTGATTTTACCAACCTAACCAATTATAGGTATTCAATTAAATTGAACAGGATAATGTGGAAAGACATTTCAATGGCAACTTCATATACTTGAACATACTTTGTAATGTTACAACTATTATTGTATGTACGATTATTATAAGTACATTACATTTTGTATATAAAATAGGAGCCGATAGGCATTTTTCATATACATTCAGACAACTGTGCTGGAACTTACTTTTATTTCAATATCATTTTGAGTTCCTTGATAAGACATCACCATGGTTTTACTTCCCCATGATCCCAATAGTAAAATGCCATCTCTGGAAACTGACCCCGTTTCTTAAATATACAATTCTCGATTTAAAAATCTAGGTGAATACGTGACTGCATTAAAACCATTTGGTAAAAATAAAGCATTTCCTGTGACACAAGGAGGAATTGGAATATTCTTCGATTTTTCCACCCGAGGAACATTTACACTTTTCATTTACCAGTCACAAGCCGTAGCACATTTCCACAATCAACGGACTTCTTTTGTGTAGGCCTATTTTTGTTTTGTCATTTTATCAACAAAGTCGTTTTGCTATTTACTTAAGTAGCTGAATTCTGAGTAGTATGGCAGTGCAGTTTTGTCAAACTCGAGTTGGCATCATCCCAGTCATCCTGTCTGAGTAATAGATTTAATCAATTTTTCAAGCAAGGGCAAAATCACAAAGTTCAGAAACCAAAAAACTATTCCAGTCCACTGAATTTTTCACTATTCCAGTGAAGATTTAGTGTGCAATATTGACCATTTACATACTGAGGTACTGAGAACTAAAGTTGTGTGCTGAAGTTAAATAATTTTTATAGCATATAATAAATAACGTTTCAAGCTTGATTAAACTAGTTTAACAGCAGTTTTTCTTGCCAGCTGGCGTTTAAGGAATAATGCACGATTCTCTAATCATAAACAATCTAAATTCCATTAAATTTCCTCTTTATTAAAAAATGAGTCTAGGTAGCAAATTGGAACTGTTCTACAGAAATTCATTCATAGTTGCTAATAATGTAACAGGTCGAACTCAAAAAAAGAGAAAGAAAATAATGGTTTTGGTTTTATGTACTATCATCCAAGTGTAAAATTGCTGTTGTAGTCACTGTTTTGATATAAGTTCATTAAATATGATGCTAATAAGAGATATTCAGAAGTAGCATATAAGGGTAATGCATAAGAT